AAATAAAGAATGCACTAAATGTAAAAATCAATTAATGGAACCTAAGGATTTCGATTCAGAATCTCTTTCACAAGAGTTTCAAGTTTTATCTTGTTTTACTAATACATATTATGAAACTGATGCAAATGATTTTATAGAGCATAACAAGTTCACTTATATAAAAAACCAGAATGGTATTGTTCTAAATAACAAATTATATTTTAGTAATAGCAAACTTAGAATAGATAATTCTTCAAGTTTCAAATGTAATTTTCTTTAATTAGTTTTATAATTGATTAAATTTTTTTTTGTGTAATTCTCTTTATTAAACATCTTAACAATGTCTGAAAAATACAACACTGCAAAAAGTCAATATTCAGCTTCTCAATTATCTTTTCTATCATGTCTATCTTGGCTTAATTCTGTTGCAAGCATGTATAGTAATGATATTTCTATTAACAAGGACTAGATTGATAATAAGATTAAAGTCAAACTCATGGAACAAACTAATTTGATGCAAATAAACAAGAAAATAATCGATCAATATGAATAAGAATGTCAATACTATGCATTATGTTTGATAGTAAATTCCGAAAAGAAAATTTGGATGAGTTATAGAAATAATCCTAGTAAAGATTATTATATGTATTATCAAGTAGCAGAAGGTGGTTTAGAACTATATGACTCATTCGTTGATTGTGTCAAGCGAGCAGTATTTGAAGAGACTAAATTAGATTTGAAAGATTTTTATTTTATTATATATGATGAAGAATTTCATATATTTCCTGACTGCTCAGATCATGAAATCATGTTCAAATCTGTGATTTATTTAACTATTACTGATGAAATTTTACAACTAACAGAATCTGACAAGAATTTTGCATAGGAAGCATATACTATCAATGAGTTTAAAAATCTCAAAGATACTGATTCTTTGAGACTCAAAGAATCAGTAATAATTAAGGCTATTAATTCAAAATTTGGAAATTGTAGAAAACATAAGAGTGAGATTAATCATGAATCTTAAAAACAAGTTAAAATAGATTCTGAGGAACTCAATGAGCCTGAATCTATTACATCATCTTCATCTCCACCTCAATAGTTTATTTATTTTATTATTATTATTTTATTTTGTTATATTTTTATTTTATTAAATAAATTATCTAACTAGTTTAATAACCAGTTAGATTTTTAACTATGTAAACTAAAAAATGACTACTGTCGAAAAAGAAAAAAAAATAAGTTGACTGTGCCATTTTACTTTGTATTTGTGAATTTGAATTATGCTACTATAGCAAAATAAGAATATATTTTAAATGCATATATATACTAAGGATGTATTCTATTATTTTGTGAGAAACTAATATCGGAGTTAGAGTTATATCTCTAAGATGTCAGTATTGCAAACACTGATGAAGAGAATTCTCATACTCATATATTTTTTATTTCAGATAACAAATTATAAATCTGGTCATGATTTTGAACAAATTATTGGAAAAATTGCAGAAGCTTTTGGTTTATTAGCTTATGAAATTAAAGTAATACAAGATAATCATGAAATTGACCTTATTGTGACTTATAAGGAAAAACTTATTCTTGTTCAATGTAAAAATACTGAAACACCTATATCTGTTTAAATTGTATAAGGTTTTGAATCAGCTATTTTAAGATTTTCATCAGATTCTCTTAGAATTATTGTTTATAATAATGAAAAATTAAAAGGAAAAATAGCAACACCTAGAGCAAAACATTAGGTACAAACATCCAAAAGAAATATCAAAATTTGTAATAAAGATTAATTTGTAGGAATTATTAAGAATTTCTATAAATCAGATGATGATGATTATGTAGAATTAGTTAATTTCAAAGCAGATAGTTTTAATGTATTAAGTTTATTAGAAGAAAATGTTTCTATTGATAAGATAGTTATCAAAAGAAATAATATAAATAAATTTTCCTATTATTTACCTTACTAGTATCTGTTCAGTTTAATACTGAACAGATTTTTCTTTTCATAATCTTTAAAACAATTGCATACAAAATATTAAAATTATTTGATGAACAAACTCAAAAACTCACAAGATTGAATGGTCTTTTATCAATTTTTGATAGCTATGTAAAAGCTATTAATGATGATAATAATCATTGCACTTCATATATGAGAATAGCATTAAAAATCCAATTAGAAGAATTGGGAGAATTCGATTTCAAATATTACAAAACCGAATTCGAAACTTCCAAAAAAAAAATCATGAGAATTATTAATCATAAATTAGATCCTGTATTAAATAATATGATTGAACATAAATTCTATTCTACATCTAATAAGATTTATCAGAAGGTGTATAAATTAATTACAAAAAATTGTCATTGGATGCTTAAATAATGTTTTATAGTTTAGTTAATAAGTTTTATCTGTTAAATTGTGATAATCTAACAAATGATAATAATTATTTTAATAATTTATTCAGATATATGATCAAATAGATTTTTATTTGTGTAAAAATGATTCAATCTATACCAATTGAAGTTGTGGCTCTTATTTTATTTTTTATATTATTTGTTTTCACTTGCATGTTTTTAACATCCAAGAAGAAAAAAAAAAAATTGTATTTACAGAAACCATCAGTGCAGAAAAAACATTTGTGGCAAATTTATTCTACTATTATTTGAAACAAAAAGGATATTCTGTTTTTTTGTTCAAATAAGCTTCTCTTGAACTATCTGAAGAACTTAATCTATTTTATAAAAATATAGAGAAGAATTGTTTTTTTTTTCAAAGTGTGATAACAAATTTCTATGAAAAAAGAGCTCAACTCACTAAATATTTGGATTATGATTATATTATTGAAGATCGTAAATATGAGGATATCAAGATATTTAATAAATTTCTAGTTGATAAATACGAAAAGGATTATATCGATAGGAAAGTTGATGAAATTGAATCTCTTCCTCCATATAAGGTTGTTTTTGTAAATCCTCCTCTTGAAACTACAATTGATTATAAAAAAAAAATGAAATAGAAAAGATGAGAAATGTCCTATTTAATATTTAAGAGATCTTTATGATCTTTACCAAACCAATATTGATGTGATTTATAATGAACATATTATGTTCAAGAATGAAAATGTTTTATGTAAAGATTGTCTTAAATTTTCTCAATATAAAATGAATTGTGATTTCAGCTCCTATGAGAGTCTTTTTGAGCAACTGTTATAAAAACATCTATCTTTTTTTTTTAAATATTAGCAGTGAGGCCATGCCTTTAACTTTATTAAAAAACATTTATCTTAACAAATATTCAGTTTAATAAACCGAATATTTTTTCAATTCAGTAAATAATATTAAAAATGAATTATAATAATTCATCAAGTTCTTCAAATCTTTTAAATGAAAATTGTGATGAGTTTACATTAAAGGAATTGATAGAAAATAATAAAAGAAAAATTTTTTTGTTTCTGTTGATTTATCAAACTGTTTTATACAGTTTGAATCATGATGCAGAGCTTAATGAAATACAAAGAGCTTTATTAATCAACTAAATAGATATCACTATCAGATGTCATATTGCAAAAAATACTTTTTATCAAAAAGTTGTAATTGAAAATATTGAAGAGCTTTTAAAAATTAAGCAATTTATAACAAAATTATCTAAAGATAATATTATAAAATATTTAGATAAAGTTATTGGGAGAAATGTAATTTCTGATAATATTATTATTATTAATAACATTATTTCTTAAATTTTTTATTTTTTATTATCATTATGAAACAATTTTTTGTTATTTTTTCTTAAATTATATTTATCTACTTAGTTATTAACCAAGTAGATTGTTTAATATGTAATTCAAGATGGATTTAAATGAAGA